AATGGATTTTACATATATACTAAAATGCATCAATAACGTAACATAGATTTAGTATGTGTTATAGATCTATCAAAAAAACTACCGTAGATCTATCAAAATCGATACTTTTGCCACGGGGGCATTAGCTTTGCCTGTGATATTCTGACAGCACACGCGTTAATTCTGCTAGTATAATGGTTATAACCTAAATCTAATTTTATTAGTTTGAGATGGCATATGAGGGGGTTCATAGTTTACTTAACATTGGAGCATTAAAAGTGAATAAAGAAGAACCTCTTACTTTCGAACAAATTGATGACAACCTTCAGAAGATGAAGTTAAATCTATCGGTAATTGTTAAAATTTTGGCCTTTCTAGTTTCGTTAATAATCAAATAAATTCATACTAATATTTTATCTAGAGAGATTCGTCACCACTCTCTCAGGAATTGGCTTTAGGTCTAAGGAGTGTGACAGCTTCCGATCTTGAATGGAGTGATCCACTCGCCAACCAGATAATTGATCAGGATTCAGATTTAGTGAACCATCTTTCTCGTCCTATGAAAAAAACATTCTTGAAACCTGCGCGACGAATGGTACCGATGATTCGGGAGATGTGCAGAGAATTTGTGGCGTGTTTTAATAGGAATCGAACCGAAAGTATACCAAGACCATTAAAACATAATGGTACTTGGAAAGAATGTCCAGAAGTTCTTAAAGAGGTTACAAAGGAAATTCTCACCACTATAAAAGATATTTGGAACAACCCAGCCTTTGGACCTAATTTTGTCCATTCGTTAAATGAAGGCACCTATGTGTCGAACGTGGTGGTGCCATTGATACGTTCAACATTGAAAAACCTTCCTTGTAAATTGTCCTCAATTATTAGCACGTAGGTTTTGTAAATTGCAAAGTTTGCAAAGTTTGAAGTATACACGCCACGAAAATAGGTTTTCAAAAAGAGCCTATTTTGTCTTCATTAGAACAAGTTTTTTAAATAAATGAGTCTTTTAAGCAAAATAATTTCATATTTGAGGTTTTAATTTCGGGCCTCAAAACCCGAAATAATTTCGTCCTCATGTATAGTTTGATGATTATATTCATAAAGCAATTTTCTTTTTTTCTAGATATGAACGTCAGAGTATTGCTAGTAAGGACAGAAGAGGTGAGGACAAAACGGGCAGAAGACCAGACATAATGTTTGAAGTTCTACACGAAGGAAAAATTTACGAACTTATGTATGGTGAGTGTTCACGTATAGTTTGCATTCCTAAAAAGGAGCTAGATGACAGAATCAAATTATGGAGAGAGACAAACGATGGATTGTACTGGACTCGTAAAGGGTGCAAACCAGAGAAAGAGCAGTTTGGGATCGTTGGAATTCAGATCGCAGGTTCTATAATTTTATTTTTTATTTTCGGAAAAAATGATCATTTTAATGATTCAAACTTTTATAGGACGTAAATTGCATCTGAATGTTCTTACTAGAGGTACAGACGATGTCCACCGTTACTATCATTTACATACGGCAGAGATTCCTGTAAACCCAATGAATGATTATAATTTAACTAATTTTGTAAAAGGCCTTTTGACTTTACGGGCTTGTTATTCAGATTTAACCATTTTTTTATATCAGTTATGAGTTGGCAACATATGTCGTATATGGTACTCATGTTCTTATTTGTTTTATAGAATATTATTATCGTTAACATGGCCTTACTATTTCATGCACCTATCTCTAAATCTCATAGACAGGAACAAAGTTCAACAG